TTTTAATTTTTTTAACGTTTATTTATTTTTGAGACAGAGACAGAGCATGAACGGGGGAGGGTCAGAGAGAGAGGGAGACACAGAATCGGAAGCAGGCTCCAGGCTCTGAGCCATCAGCCCAGAGCCCGACGCGGGGCTCGAACTCGCAGACCGTGAGATCGTGACCTGAGCCGAAGTCGGACGCTCAACCGACTGAGCCACCCAGGCGCCCCTGAACAATATTCTTAATATCAGCAGCTTTTTATTCTCTTTCCTTTTCTTGACCACTATTATTTTAACTTTTTTAGCTGTCTTGCCTCTCCATATTGTCTCTTATGCTGCTGCTTCTGCTTGGAATTCTCTGTTGAATCTTTCTTGTTGAAATTCTATTTATTTTTCAAGGCCTAACTCAAAAGTCTCTTCTTCACCTTCTTTTCCTAAAAGGCTTCTCTGGTCAGTCCAATGTTACAAAAATAATAAAAATAATAATAATTTTCCTTTTATTTTTACTACTGTTTAATTGACACCTACTTTGTGTTAAATATTTTCCTTCACAGCGGCCTCCAAGGTAATATTATTCCCAAGTTAAAGAAGAAGATATTAAGGTTCAGAGAAGTTAAATAGCTTTCCCAACTATTATTAGAGCTGAAATTTAAACTTAGGTATCTTTGGCTTTAATTAGGCTATTGTTTTTCCTCCCTACTAATTTATGCATTTTCCTTTTTGTTGTAGTTGTTATAGTTGGTTGAGAATCTGATACAGGTCTTTGTGTCCCTCATGGTGGCTTTATCAGTCAGTAAATATTTGTGAAATGAATGAAAAGGGAGGTTTATATTAGAAATGCTTAACAAGTTTTGGAAATAACCCTTTTAAACAGAAGAATGGACAGCTTCAGAATGAATCTAGTACTCACTCTATCACTGTATAGTGGATCAAAGTATAGGATAGATAAGATCCTTAAAACTGCATCAAAGCAGTGTAGTTCAGTGGGTAAGAACATTAACTCTGGAGTTGGTGTAGAGTTCTGGGATTCTTGTCCTGCCTTGTCCTGCAAGTTACCTAACACCTATTTTCTCATCTATGAAATGGTGATTAGTACTTACCATTTAGAATTGTTAGGGTTGAGTAAGATATTGAATATAGGATTTGTTACCTGACCATATAGAAATATGCCATAGGGAATCGCTTTTTTATATTAACCTGTTGTTTTTCCCATTCTCTGTGGTTTGATTTTCTGTTGATTTATCCACCTTGAGTGACAGCTCTCTCCTTGCTTATTACTGAATACCCTGAATAAAGAAAGGATACTTTGTTTCCTTCTACTTGTATTTTATATTCTTAATATATTTGAGGATAATAGCGGCTCAGTAGAGATGATTGATACATCTTTCGTGGCAGGGAGTCGTCGCATGGTGGATGTCATGGACGTGAACACACAGAAAGGCATTGAAATGACCATGGCTCAGTGGACACGCTACTATGAGACCCCAGAGGAGGAGCGAGAAAAACTCTATAATGTCATCAGCCTAGAGTTCAGCCACACCAGGCTGGAGAATATGGTGCAGAGGCCCTCCACGGTTAGTCTGATCATTTTTTCCACATTGTCATTGTCACCAAGAGAGTTGTTTATATACTGGGAGAATTTATAACTTTTTTTTTATGTTTATTTATTAGAGTCAGTGGGGGGCGGGGCAGAGAGAGAGACGGAGAGGATCCCAAGCAGGCTCCGTGCTGTGAGCACACAGCTTGACTCTAGGCTTGATACATGAACCAAGAGATCATGACCTGAGCTGAAATCAAGAGTCGGAAGCTTAACCAACTGAGTCACTCAGGTGCCCCCTAATCATTCTTTTAAAATCAAGATCTCAGCCTGGGTGGCTGTCATTTAAGCTTCTTACTCTTGATTTTGGCTCAGGTCATGATCTCACTGTTTGTGAGATTGAACCCCACATCACGCTACACACTGACAGCACAGAGCCAGCTTGGGATTCTCTCCCTCTCTCTGCCCCTTTCCTGCTCTCTCTGATCCTCCCCCTGCTGTCTATCCCACACCCCAAAATAAAAAATAAACATTTAAAAATAAATAAAGTCAAGATCTCAGTGTTTTATTCTATCTCCATTTAATCATCCTAATTGCATCAAAATTATGATAATTGCTTCTAAAACTGTTATTTTATATATACACCTACATTCAGCTTACCAGTAAGATGCATTGTTATTATCACTAAGACATTGATATGTACAGACCAGCAGGAAAATGTTCTTAGTATTTTACTATTATTACCTGAAGAGACAATGTAATTTTTTGTCATTGCTTCTTGTTACTGGAGATGGCTACAGCTAAGTACAGAATTTCTTATTAAGGGGCGCCTGGGTGGCTCCGTCGGTGAAGCATCCGACTTCGGCTCAGGTCATGATCTCACGGTTCATGAGTTTGAGCTTCACATTGGGCTCTGTGCTGACAGCTTGGAGCCTGGAAACTGCTTCGGATTCTGTGTCTCCTTTTCTCTCTGCCCCTCCCCCATTCACACTCTGTCTCTCAAAAATAAAGATTAAAAAAAATTTTTTTTAATTTCTTAAGAAAACTTTTATCTCCTTAGAATGATAAAAATCCTTTTACATTATAATTTGTTTGGTCATGTGGAAATATAGGAAGACAGTTAGAATTTAGTCTTGTTATTAGCCAAACATGGTGCACTTAATAAATAAAGAATATAGGGCACCTGGCTGGCTCAGTTGGTAAAGTATGCAACTCTTGATCTTGGGGTCATGAGTTCAAGCCCCACATTGACCATATAGAGCCTACTTTAAAGAAAAAGTTTTTTTAATGTACAATTCAGTGCATTAAAATAATAAGAGAGGGATGTAAGAATCACAATAACATTGTTTATAAATTGTTTTTAATATTGCTTATAAATTAACACTGTTAATATTTTTAGAATTTCAACTTAAAAATAAAGTGATTATAGCTATAAAAGTCAAACATTCATACTTTTCTGTTCTTAAAATTTAGAACTATGTCATTCACACATGAAGCCTTTTTTGTAACATTCTTAATTTATTCACTTTTGTTCCTAGCTTTAATGATAAAAATCCATCATTATATAACAAAAATAATAGACCTAAATGGAGGAGTGGAACTATGGAAGGGCTCAGAAAAGGAAATTTTCTGGAGGACACAGAATAATGCACCAGTATTTTTTAGGGACCTAAAACATGACTGGAAAGATTGAGCTATTACCAAGGTCACTTCCTGAAAGCGGGAAAGCTTTTGATGACTTGCTATGTAAGCAATAATATGCTTATTCTGCTGGGGTATTATTTATTTATTTACTGGAGTATTTTTCCCCACAGTGTATCCTTCCATTTATTTAGGTATTTTCTAACATATCTCAGTAATGCTTTTTTATTTTTATTTTTTATTATTCTTTTTTTTTAATATTTATTTATTTTTGAGAGACAAATTGTGAGCAGAGGAGGGGCAGAGATTGAGAGGGAGACACAATCCAAAGGCTTCAGGCTCTGAACTGTCAGCACAGAGCCTAACATGGGGCTCAAACCCACAAACCGCGAAATCATAACCTGAGCCAAAGGTGGATGCTTAACCAACTGAGCCACCTAGTCGCCCCAATAATGCTTTTTTAAAAACCAACTTTATTGAGGTATAATTGACATAAAATATACTCATTTTAAGTATACATTTCAATGAGTTTGAACAAATATACTTATTCTTGTAATCTTTCACATAAACCACATAATCTCTTATTCTCTGTGACATTCACACCTTCAGAGTTAGCGTATTATTGGTTCAAGTGCCCACCACGTGCTGAGCACTATGCTAGGTGCTAGAGGACCTGTGGAAGATAAGGTCATTGTCATTCTCACAGTGCTTAAAGTCTCACGGGGAAGAAAGACCAGAGGATAGACATTTCTATGAGCCACACTAATGGTAAGTGCTTCATAAGTGAATAAATACAGAGTGTGGTGGGGGCAAGAAGGAGGACCCCCCCTAACCTAAACTGGATGAGAATTAGGGGAAACTCTTTGGAGGAAGTGATATCTAAGCTTGACATGAAAGAAATGAGGCAAAGGGAATGAAAACCAGAATTCCAGGCAGAAGAAGTAGTATGTGTAAAAGTAGGTGCAGTGGAAGAGGAAGGTGGGCAACCTTTAGGTGCCTCTTGGGGTGTTAGCATAAAATGGGATTTTCTGGTAAGGAGAGAGATTGTTTTCTGCTGTCATTCCAGCAGTACCTGAGAGGTAGCTGGAAAGTAACATACACAGTGTGCAGATTTGTTTGGTGGTGGGAAAATCCGTTCATGTAAGGCTGTGAGCTTTTTTTGTGAAGCATATGACTAGATTAGGTCCTGGGTATTGGACTTCTTACCAGTTTGGCCCTAGTATTGATGCAGAACAGGTAGAAACTGGTGATTACCCCTTCTGGAGACTTGCTCTCACATGGATCGGGCCATTTAGTAAAAGGCCTAACCAGAGCCTAAAGATTAACCGAAGGAAAAAAGTATGAGTCCCATATCACAAGACGATACCTAATAATACCAAAAAATGAGAGGCCAGAATGAGTGACTCAGTGCTGCAGGTGAGAAATTCTGGCCAAAGAAATTCAGCTTTCTCTGAATGAAAATTGAGAAAAAAATACCCATGTGTTCTTAACCCTTCTTTTCCCCATCCAGACATAAGAGCTTATACTGTCTTGAGCAAGTATTGTTATTCATTATTCTGTTAAAGTGTTAGCAAAGGAGAGGACCATGAGATAGAAGGTGCTGACCACTACATTAAGAGAACAGAAAGTAGATTTTGTTTGAGGGAAAGGAAGGAAGTTGGAGTTCATTCAGTGTTTGAGACCCAGTGGATGCTTGGTTAAAACTATTGGCTCCCTGAGCAGAAATCTTTGAAGTGCAGCCACAAGTTAACTTCATGGTTGCTCTCAACTTGCATGTCATTGGTGATCCCTTCCAGCCTTGCTCCCACGGTTTCCTAGACACCTGCCTCATATCATTATGCACAGATTGTATGCATTTGTCCAGATCTATATTGTCAGGGAAATAAATTATTAAATACAGGTATTGTTGTAAAGTTTACTGTATATGTATGTTTTATAGCCTTAAGTTAGATTATTTGTAGTGTCAATACTGTACTGGACTCATGTTTTGGCTCACATTTTATCTACCTGAGACTGTTTCTTGGAGGTCAGTGGTTGGGTAATGCACACATTTGAAGGTAGAGGACATGTTATAGTTCAGTGTAAAGTGCAGATATGTTCATATTGCTTTCACTTCTTTCAGCACATATAATTTAAAATAGATTACCAAATATAAAAGATCTGTATGCTGAAAACTATAGAAAAAGATCTGTATGCTGAAAACTATAGAAAACTTACAAAGGAAATTGAATAAGACACAAAGAAATGGAAAAACATTCCATGCTCGTGGATTGGAAGAACAAATATTGTTAAAATGTCAATACTACCCAAAGCACTCTACATATTCAGTGCAATCCCAATCAAAATTGCACCAGCATTCTTCTCAAAGCTAGAACAAACAATCCTAAAATTTGTGTGGAACCACAAAAGACCCCGGATAGCCAAAGTTATGTTGAAAAAGAAAACCAAAGTGGGAGGCATCACAATCCTGGACTTTAGCCTCTACTACAAGGCTGTAATCATCAAGACAGTATGGTACTGGCACAAGAACACATAGACCAATGGGATAGAATAGAGAACCCGGAATTGGACCCACAGACATATGGCCAACTAGTCTTTGACAAAGCAGGAAAGAGCATCCAGTGGAAAAAAGACAGTCTCTTTAGCAAATGGTGCTGGGAGAACTGGACAGCAATATGCAGAAGAATGAAACTGGACCAGTTGCTTACACCATACACAAAAATAAACTCAAAATGGATGAAAGACCTAAATGTAAGACAGGAAACCATCAAAACCCCAGGGGAGAAAACAGGCAACAACCTCTTTGACCTCAGCTGCAGCAGTTTCTTGCTTGACACGTCTCCAAAGGCAAGGGAAATAAAAGCAAAACAAACTGTTGGGACCTCATCAAGCTAAAAAGCTTCTGCACTACAAATGAAGCAATCAACAAAAGTAAAAGGTAACCAATGGAATGGGAGAAGATATTTGCAAATGACATATCGGATAAAGGGTTAGTATCCAAAATCTGTAAAGAATGTACCAAACTCAACACCCAAAAAACAAGTAGTCCCGTGAAGAAATGGGCAGAAGACATGAATAGACACTTTCCCTAAGAAGACATCCAAATGGCCAACAGATGCATGAAAAGATGCTCAACATCACTCATCATTAGGGAAATGCAAATCAAAACCACATTGAGATACCACCTCACACCGGTCAGAGTGACTAACATTAACAACTCAGGAAACAACAGATGTTGGCAAGGATGTGGAGAAACAGGAACCCTCTTGCACTGTTGGTGGGAATGCAAACTGGTACAGCCGCCCTGGAAAACCGTGTGGAGATTCCTCAAAATACTAAGAATAGAACTACCCTACGACCCAACAATAGTGCTACTTGGAAGTTATCCAAAAGATACAGGAGTCCTGATTCATAGGGGCACATGTACCCCAATGTTTACAGAAGTGTTTTCAACAATAGCCAAATTATGGAAAGAGCCCAAATGTACATCAACTGATGAATGGATAAAAGAAGATGTGGTTTATACGTACAATGGAATACTATTTGGCAATGAGAAAGAATGAAATCCTGCCATTTGCAACAACGTGGATGGAACTGGAGGGTATTATGCTAAGTGAAATAAGCCAGTCAAAGAAAGACAAATATCGTATGTTTTCACTCATATGTGGAACTTGAGAAACTTAACAGAAGACCTTGGAGGAAGGGAAGGGGAAGAAATAGTTTTAAACAGAGAGGGAGGCAAACCATAAAAGACTCTTAAATACAGAGAACAAACCGTGGGTTGATAGGGAGTGTGGGAGGGGGGAAATGGGTGATGAATATTGAAGAGGGCACTTGTTGGTATGAGCACTGGGCGTTGTATGTAAGTGATGAATCACAGGATTCTACGATTCTACCCCCGAAACCAAGAGCACACTGTGTATACACTATGTGTTAGCTAACTTGACAATAAATTATATATGTTTTAAAAAATACAGAATTATACATTTAGCCACATGTATTTTTAATGACCTAGTATTATGTTCATGTAGTTAGTGATCATAAAAACCAAGTGATGAAAGATGGAAAATAAAGGTGAAATGAAAATGAAATAAAAAATAGATTACTAAATTCTGCTAACATTATCTCAAGAAATTTTAACATGTATTTACATGTAATCCTCACAATATCCCTTGGAGTTAATTATCCTCATTTTAGAAATGAGTTCCAGGGACTTGCATGTGATCTTGAGAAAACATGACAGACCTGGAACTTCTGATTCCTAACCTAGTAGATTCTACATTGTTCATGTAGGGCTACAAATCCCTGTTGGATTTGTTTCTTTTTCTCCTCCTCCTCCTCCTCCTTTTAAAACTTTGGATGTCTTAGCTGCTCTAACAGTTCACTGTGTTACATCTCTGGTAAGTTTAGAAGTACCATCCAGACAGCACCTTTGATTGAATTAGAAAAATACAGTTGATTATACCAGTATTGACACAGAGGGGATACTACTGTGTTATTTAATGACTTCATTTTCATTAGTGCTATCTTTGTGGTGTTGACGGGTCCATTAGCCTTTATTCTCATTGAAAAATTATTTCTAGAAGGTTTGCCTGTCGACCCTAAGATTCACCAACAGATTGTTTTATTTTGTTTATAATTAAATTATAGTCTTTCAGTGTGTATTTTGAGAAATTCTGTTTTTCTGGACTTTAAAGTTCTCTTTAATCCCAGTCCTTCCATTGAATCCTAAATGTTTCCTTCTCCTTTTTAAAGGTGGATTTCATTGACTGGGTAGACAACATGTGGCCGAGGCATTTGAAGGAAAGTCAGACTGAATCAACAAATGCCATCTTGGAGATGCAGTACCCCAAAGTGCAGAAGTAAGTGGCTTTCCCTGCATTTCCTCAGGTGCATCACCGGGAAACCAGAGTGATGGCAAGGAATGGTTCCTCCCTTTGGAGCCTTGGTCTGTGTCCTAAATGATCAAAAAGATGAATTCTTTAAACAGATTTTACAGTTTCAGAGGGAAGAGTATATATAACGGTGTCATAACCCACAATTACATAGTTTAAAGAAAATGTGTCGTTCTGGTAACATGATGACGCAGTTGTGCTCCTCTTACTGACTGGGAATTGATTATGTGGAAGGTGGGGTGCACAAGGGGAGAGTGTGGTATTGTGGTGGGGCATGCTCTCTTTTTCTCATCGGTGCACTAATGGCTGCTGTTTTTTTTTGGGTCAGGTACTGTCTGATGAGTGTTCGAGGCTGCTATACTGACTTCCATGTGGACTTTGGTGGTACCTCTGTTTGGTATCACATCCATCAAGGGGGAAAGGTACGGTCATAGTTGGGATGGGGATTGGAATCTGAAGCTGGTTATATGTCTCTGCTTCAGTTCATGCATGCCTAATATACCTAGAAATGAATCTGCTAGGAAATTGTCCCCTATTCTAGAGAGAAACGTTGATTACATTGACCCTTTTGGCTTGACTTCAGTAGGAATTCGTATTCTTCTAGTCTGCTGTCATAATACCAATATTGGCATAGTACTTAGTAAACCTCAGCAGCCTTATTTTTAGATTCCCAAGGCAGAATTCTCCACTTGAAGACAAGAAAGTGGTTTTAGGAAGACAAGACAATTTCTCTACGTGGAAGTGTAATAAAGTAGTAGATGGCAACACAAATTTTGTATAGATTCAGGATGAAATCAGCAAATTAGAATCCAAACCACCTTTCCCTATTTTGAAGGCATTGATCTGAAATGTGGCCAGAGGAAGCCTTTAAGTCCTCCCTAAGGATGTGAATAGATTTTGAAAGATTATTCTCATTCGTAAAGAACTGTATTCCAGCTTGTCAGATTGTTTCTGAATGCTGTGTGAGAATGGAAATCTGGGATTAATGTTGGAGGTTTGTAGTATTACGCTCTTATTATTACCCTTTTTTCCCTTGCTAGAAGTAGATGCGTTTGTGAGAGAAGTAGAACTGGAATGAAAACACATAATGCTTTTAAAATGTGAGGTCCTAATTTAGAACAACTATACCTCCAAATCCAAAGTCATTTTGTTTGCTTTGGATCCATTTCAATGGTATCTCAAGTTTTGTCCTTTTGGTCTTGGTTCCTACCCTAGAACAAAGTAAGCTAGGCCTGTCTCTAGAAGATATTGTACCTACTGTATTTCTTAGGACTGTAGAGGCCAGACAGCCAGGGGCAAGTAAGGGACCTCCTAGGTAACAAACTGAATGTCCCTCTTCTCCCTGAGTCCTGGATGGGTTCTGGGTTCTACAGTCAAACTCCAGGGAAGCCCTAAAGCCATTTCATCAAGTGAAGGACAGAAAATATCTGCTTCCTTGGGGCCTCTAGAATTTCCCAAATGGTCAGGTTCTGTAGGCTAGGAGGACTGCTTGCTGCTCTTCTGCCTGTTGGCTTTAACTTTGTACCTGTTTATCAGTTGAGGGAGACGACTGGGTCATGTCAATGGCTGTTAACAGACTGAAGTTTTTTAACTCACAGGTCTTCTGGCTCATCCCCCCTACAGCCCACAACCTGGAGCTGTACGAGAATTGGCTGCTGTCAGGGAAACAGGGAGACATCTTTCTGGGTGACCGGGTATCAGATTGTCAGCGCATTGAGCTCAAGCAGGGCTATACCTTCGTCATTCCCTCAGGTAAGCAAGATGGGAAAAAATTAGTTGTTTACTCTAGCCACTAGAATTAATGGATTACCACCAAGAGTGGTTGTGATGCTGGGGTGGACAGAAAACAATAGTGTCCTTTCCTGTCATTATGGATTAGATGGTAAGAATGTGGATTTTTGAAAAAGGCACTGATTTTCCACTAAAATCAGAATTGTCAGTGGTGGCTTCTCACAGAAGGTCTACATTTGGACTGCACATTAGGTCTAGGTAATCAGAATCTCTAAGGATAAGACCTGGTCAGCGGGCAGTATCTAACGTCTGGGTGAAAGAGACCTACTTTCTAAGGGATGTCTATGAAGGCTGGAGTGTAGTAGCATCAGTGATAATTTTTAGGAGGTCACTAGTTACAAAATAAGTATTTACAGCACAGATTTTGAAGTCACAGACCTGTATTAGAATTCTGACACTTGTAAAAAAAAAAAAGAAGAAGAAGAAGAAGAAGAATTCTGACACTTGTTTACCTAATACCTTTTTGGTCAAATATTTAAACCTCTGTCACATTTTGTTTTGAGGAGTAAATGGAAATACATGTCAGCTCTTGTACTGCACCTTCACAGTAGGTGCTCCTGTAAATAGAAGCAGCATTTGTTAAGCTTACTGTATGCTAAACACTTTACGTGCATTTTCTGATTTAATACTTACTAGTAACCATATAAAGTTTAATTTTTATAGAGGATATTGAGGCTGCAAGAGATTAAATAACTTGACCAACCACTAAGTAACAATCAGAGTAAAAAGTAGGATCTAGGAGTATTATACTAGTTCTCTGAGAGAGCCATGTTGTAATGTGTGCTTACAGTCACTACCCTCCATTCCCTTTCTTCTAGGCTGGATTCATGCTGTGTATACTCCTACGGACACATTAGTCTTTGGAGGCAATTTTTTGCATAGTTTCAATATCCCCATGCAATTAAAAATATACAACATTGAAGATCGGACACGGGTAAGTAATTGTATTATGTAACAGTTGGATGTGAAGAGATTAACTCCATTTAAGCCAGATGTTAGATTCACTGGTAGTTTATCTCAAAATTTCAAAATTTTTCTTTGAGTTAAAGTGCAGTGTTAACATTTCAGGGACACTGAGAAAAAAGTTTTAACAAGATCTACCTGCTTATTTTGGGGAACTCTAATTCTTTGAGGTTCTTGATATCTTGGATTTTTATAAGGCTAGAGATAGACATTTGGTAATCTTTTGAGCCATGTTTTTAATATGTATGCTCGTAGAATAACCCAGTGTAATGGGATTCATCAAGTCAAAAGTCACAACTTTGAGTGCATGTATGTATCTTTATTCTGATTACTGTCTAACATGTGAAATGTTGTACTTTTCTTTTTTAATGTTTATTTATTTTGAGAGAGAATAAGGGAGGGGCAGAGAGAGAATCTCAAGCAGGCTCTGCCCTGTTAGTACAGAGCCCGACTCCAGGCTCAATTTCAAGAATTGTGAGATCATGACATGAGCCGAAATCAAGAGTTGGACACTTAACCGACTGAGCCACCCAGGTGCCTCTGTACTTAATAAATAAATGTGCATACAGCTTTTCTCAGCTGGGGTTCCATGAGAGAATTAAGTCTTTTAGAAAATGATATGTGTGTCTTATTCTCTTGGTTTTCTTTCCCTAGGATGTTACATAGCTGATACCATTCTAGATATATAGGAGAAAAAGTTCATTACATGTAGTGGGTACCCTAGCAAGAGTTGCAAACTTTTTCTGAAAAGGATCAGAGAGTGAAATACTTAAACGAATGAGCATGGCTCAAATAAAATAGAATTTTATTTATGGACACTGAAATTTGAATTTCATATAGTTTTCCCATATCCCAAAATGCTCTAATTTTAGGGGTTTTTTTCAGCCATTTAAAAATGTAAAAACATTCTTAGCTCACAGAAAAACAGGCAGCAGACCAAATCCACTAGCTGCTGTTTGTTGGCCAACCCATGTCTTGGGGAAACAGGGCTTAATTCTTTAGCAGAACCCAAGTTGGTGAGGGCTGAATTATATATGATGAAAGCATAGATGTTGTAGACATTAAACAGCCGTTAGAGTATAGAGCCTTTAGAAGGCATGATGTTCTCACCTTGTTCTCAAGTAGTTCAACATAATAGTAATAACAACAACAACAACCATGTTGGGACACCTGGGTAACTCAGTTGGTTAAGCGTCTGACTCTTAATATGGGCTCAGGTCATGATCTCAGAGTTCGTGAAATCGAGCCCCCTCCTCAGGCTCTGCGCTGAGCATGGCGCTTGCTTGGGATTCTTTCTGTCCTCTCTCTGCTCCTCCCCTGCTCGTGCATGCTCTCTCTCTCAAAATAAATAAATTAAGTTTAATAATAATAATTACAGCCACGTATGTGAATAGAGATTAGCAAATGTGGGGAAATGTTAATAGCTGGTGAATCTTGAAGAATGCTGTAAGCATTCTTAAACTTTTTGGCAGATTAAAAAAAATAATAAGATAAAACAGAGGGGGAGGCAAACCATAAGAGATTCTTAAATACAGAGAACAAACTGAGTGTTGCTGGAGGGGTGGTGGGTGGGGGGCATTAAAGAAGGCACTTTTCTGAGCACTGGGTGTCCTATGTAAGAGATGAATCACTGGGCTCTACTCCTAAAGCCAAAACTATAGTGTATGTTAACTAACTTGAATATTAAAAAAAAAAAAGAAAAGAAAGAAAGAAAGAGAAAGAACTTTTTTAGCAGATTTGAAAGTTTGCAAAGTTAAATTTAAAAAAAATCACAATTTGGGACGCCTAGGTGGCTCAGTCGCCTAAGCATCCGTTGATTTTGGCTGAGGTCATGACCTCACAGTAGTGAGACTGAGCCCCACATTGGGCTCTGAGTTAAGTGTGGAGCCTGCTTAAGATTCTATCTCTCCTTCTTTCTCTGTCCCTCCTCTACTTGCTCTCTCCCTAAAAATAAATAAATAAATAATCACAATTAGTGAAGACATTACAATTTTTGGAAGGAATAGTCATTGACCTGTTTACTGCAAACATGATCAGTTAGCTATTTTGGTGCCTATTTTGAAATATTTATTTTGGTTAGGAGCTATTACACACAACAGTGGTATTGTTCGTGTTCTAGGGATTGCCCTACTTGAGTTAAGAAGATACAGTGCTTTTAAAATAAATTTTATAAAAGTAAATTTCTGCTTATTAAGAGTAATGAGGGGTTCCTGGGTGGCTCAGTCAGTTGAGCATCCAACTTCAGCTCAGGTCATGATCTCACAGAACATGGGTTTGAGCCCCATGTTGGGCTGTCAGCATAGAGCCTGGAGCCTGCCTCGGATTCTGGGTCTCCCTCTCTCTCTGACCCTCCCTGCTCTCACTCAGTCTGTTTCTCTCTCTCTGAAAATAAACAAACATTTAAAAAAAAAAGTAAACTACAAAAAATAATTAGTAAGTTTGAAATTATAATAATAGTAAAAAGTTAAAGTTAAAATGTTTCAAAATTATGTAATTTCACAGAATACTCTTATTTAACTCCAAATTATTCTGAGGTAATACCACTTATCTACTGTAAGAATCTGAAAATTAGTTTTTAGAAAGTACTCCCCTTTTTTGGCTAAAAATTACTGTATTATACCCATGATTTAATTGCTTAGTTGCTCAGTTTGAGGGAAGAAAGGGAGAATATGTATATATTCAGTGGCATAGGTGAAATGAGGTACCTTACCTTCACATGGAGTTTCTTACAGACTGTTAAACTTGTAATAACTGATCTTGATTTACCTATCTAATTTTCTAAGACTTTGTTTTTTGTTTATGAAAAAAATGTCAAATTTCAGTCTAACCACCATATTATTCCATTTTTCCCAAGTATAGCTTAATTCTTTCATTCTCAATAAGGAACTCCTCTGTGTTTCTACAAAATTTCATTGAGTCCCTGCATATGTATGTACAAAGCAATTATTTTTTTATTGCTTTCTACACCAGCCTTTTATGTGCCAATACCAGCTGGTATCCAGTTAATATATTACCTTACAAAAATGCAGTGTGTTGTAAATTTAAGACAATGTTTTTGGTTTCTTTTGCCATGCCAGTGTGGAAATACCATACTATTTACACGAGTGCTGAGGGGCACCTGGGTGGCTCAGTTGGTTAAGCATCCAACTTTGGCTTAGGTCATGATCTCATGGTTTGTGAGTTCAAGCCCCACATTGGTTTCTCTGGTGTCAGCACAGAGCCTGCTTCAGATTCTCTGTCCCCACTGTCTATCTGCTCCTCCCCTGCTCATTCTCTCCCTCTCTCTCTCTCTCTCTCTCTCTCTCTCTCTCTCTGTCTCTCCCTCCCTCCCTCTCTCTCTCTCTCTCTCTGTCTCTCCCTCCCTCCCTCTCTCCTTCTCTCCCTCTCTCCCTCTCTCTCCTCTCTAAATAAATAAACTTTAAATAAACTTGAATGCTGATAATTGTTCCACTGGTAGCACTGAAAAGCTCAATTCTGTAAGGTGGATTTTTTAAAAACTCTCTCCCTGCCCCACAAAAAATTTTAGCCCAGTCTTAGAAACTGATATACTCTGTAGTATCTGGCAACATAGATAAAATATGAGGCAAGTTGGGTATGTGATATCTTGGCTGTTATTAATGCAGTCTGATGAGTTCCAAGTAAAAAATCAAAAGTTTAATGATCTACTATAAATTACCTTTTTTTTTTTTTTTTACTGTCAGTATTAGCTTTCAACAGAGTCCCAGAGGGCTGTAGAATTTTGGGTTGTCCTGAACTTTTAATAAAGACCCTTCCAGAAAAGTGTTAATACCTGTAAAAGGTGAGCAGAGAGGTCCGTGTATTATATTTAACTTGGGGGCATCTAGTGCCTGTTAATTCTTGTGGTCCCCCTCCCACACCTTACCAAAAGTAAATTAGTTTGACCTTCTTTTAAGCTCTTACTTATTTTTCAGTAGGCTTTAGGCCCAATGTGGGGCCTGAGCTCACGACCCTGAGATCAAGAGTTGTGTGCTCTACTGACTGAGCGAGCCAGGCACCCCCAATTTGACTTTTAAATAAAGGAGGAAAACCTCTTCTAGTTGTTAAAACTGTAGTTGCTTAAGAGACCTCGATTCAGGGGCACCTGAGTGGCTCAGTTGGTTAAGCATTCGACTCTTGATCTCAGCTCAGGTCTTGATCTCAGGGTTGTGAGTTCAGGCCCTCCATGTTGGGCTCTGCGTTGGGCGTGAAGCCTACTTAGAGAGAGAGAGAGAGATTCAGAGCCTGGCTCCTCTGAATTGGAAACCTAATGAAAGGTACATACCTCTCCTGCCTTGCAATGAGGAAAGGAATCTCCTCATTCCACAGTTCTGCTCCATGACCTAGTGAAGGATTTTAAAAGTGGCCTGGCATCCAGATTTCCTTGATTCAGGAATACTGCCTGACGCGGAGCTTTGAAAAGGAGATGAGAACGTACTCAGGAGTTGAATATTCAAAACAATCTTAGAAGTATCGTATGGCTTATCCTTTTGAAAGATGTCCTCTCTAAAAGATGATGGCAAAATATATATAGGTTAGTCCCCATTGTTGATCTTCCTTACTGGTTAATCCATGCTGATTTGCCTTTTCTTTGACTATGCTAGATCTAAAGGGCAGTTCTTTTTATTATTATTCAGCTGGAATAATTTCATGCTACTTCTGGAGGACATGGAAAAAAAAAAACTAAAGACAATGGCTGATTAGGCCATGTGGAACAGTAATCTAATTTGTGGACTTGCCCTTTTGGCAGACTACAAAGTACTGTACAGACAAGCTGAGAGTTGATGGTGGGAAAAATACTGTCTTGTGTCTTAGACTAGACAAAGCTTGAGAATGAGTCTCTAATTATACTTTTCTATAACTTCAACTCATGTCCTGTTTTCCATTAGATTCTTTGTTTCCTGGTCTTCTGATTGAGGTTAAAACTGTAGTGAAGGCAAGACTGCTTGGCACGCCTTTATGTCCTAAGAACCCTGAAACCATTTTCTCAAGTATATTGTGTCTTACTCTAACACTTTACTCCCTGTCCCACAACTTTTTTTTTTTTTTTAAGAGAGTGAGTGTGAGAGCCAGGGAGAAGGGACATTGGAGAGAGAGAAAGGGAGGGAGGGAGGGAGGGAGAGAGAGAGAGAGAGAGAGAGAGAATGAATCTCAAGCAGGCTCCACGCCCAATGCAGAGCCCGACATGGGGCTTGATCTCACAAGCCTGGGAACATAACCTCAGCCAAAACCAAGAATTGGCTGCTCAACCCAGGCGCCCCCACAACTTCTTTTGATGCTTTCCCAAGACACCTTCTTGGTGGTTCTGAGATACCTTTTAATTTCTAGTGATTGTTTCCCAAGACCAACATTTTTCAGGTTGTCAGATCCACTTAGATTCTTGTTCCAGTTGCCACCCTACGTTTCAGGTTGACGAGAGAGCATTTTTCCTGGGTTAATCTTTGCAGTGATTCAGTTTGTCTTACTCTCTTTCCTTGAAAATTGTTATCAGCTTGCTTTTTCTCATTGTTTTGTTCCCATGCAGGTTCCAAATAAGTTCCGCTATCCATTCTACTATGAGATGTGTTGGTACGTGTTGGAGCGCTATGTATACTGCATAACCAACCGCTCCCACCTAACTAAGGAATTTCAAAAAGAGTCCCTCAGTATGGGTAAGTGTTCTGCCTACGTGAACTTACCTGCTTGGGTCTACAAAATTCATTCGTTGAAGCTGAATGTTGTTTACAGCTGATCTCTTACCCAGATGTGAATTATTAGGCAAAATGAAATATCTGGATCTCCTCTTTGTCTGAGTTGTTAGTACCTTAGCTCCTTAAGAAAGATGATCACTTTTCTGCTGTGTTTTATTGTATAAAGAGTGGTCTTTGGCAAAGTAAAAACTAAGAACACGCCATCATACTAACTCTTACTGTATTCCAGGCACTTTACTAAGCAGTGTATATACATTAAATTCTAATCATTACTGATGAGGGTAGGTATTACTATCTCATTTTACAGATGGTGGCATTTAAGTTTCAAGGAGATTAAAAAACTTGATCTGTGATCTTATAGTTAATAAGTGGGAAATAATAATAACGGTTAATAAGTGGGGAAGGTACAGTTTGAATCAGATTGGTAAGACTCTACAATCTATATCCTTAACTTCAATGCTTTAATGTTTCCCCAACTTCTATCAAGAGAAATATTTTATTGGATGGCAAGATACTTTGTTTTTCTCCTGACTCTCACTGAGATTGGCAGCTTCAAAACTGAGAACAGTGGATGTGATTAGACAAGAGTACTTTCGTTTTCTTTCTTGATTTTTTTAAATGTTTGTTTATTTACTTTGAGAGAGAGGGAGAGAGAAAATCCCAAGCAGGGTTTTTGCTGTCAGCATGGAGCCTGACATGGGGCTTGATCCCAGGAACCATGAGATCATAGCCTGAGCGGAAATCAAGAGCCAGACACTTAACCAACTGAGCCACCCAGATGCCCCAGGATACTTTCAGTTGTACATTTTTAGGCTGTTCTATACCCTAAGGTGCAGAGGAGCCAACACTGTAATATCTTGTGGTCATATGTTTCATGGAATCTTCAATCTAAACCAGATATTTTTGGGGCGCCTGGGTGGCTCAGTCAGTTGAGTGTCCGACTTCAGCTCAGGTCATGATCTCGCAGTTTGTGAGTTCGAGCCCCGCATCGGGCTCTGTGCTCATGAGCCTGGAGCCTGCTTCGGATTCTGTCTCCCTTTCTGTCCCCCCACTCGTGTGCACACTCTCTCTCTCTCTCTCTCTCTCTCTCTCTCTCTCTCTCTCTCAAAAATAAATAAACATTAAGAAAAAAAACTAAACCAGATATATTTTTCCTTTGAGGGTTGTTTATATTCTTGTTTGAAAATAAAAAATGGTCGAGTACATGAAAGCAGGATACAGAATTGTGTATGTAGCATAATCCCAGTGCAACTATAGTCGTGCACATATGTGTCAAAAAAGATGGAAAGAAAATACACATCAGTTGTTGAGTTATCTAAGGGCAGAGGGATAAGGGATGACTTCTTTGCACCATCCTATATTTTCTAAATTATGATTATTTTTATTATTTTAATGTTTGTTTATTTTTGAGAGAGAGAGCATATGCACAAGAGAATCTGAAGCAGGCTGCAGGCTCTGAGCTCACAGTGCAGAGCCCGATGCGGGGCTCGAACCCATGATCCGTGAAATCGTGACCTGAGCTGAAGTCAGACCTTAACTGACTGAGCCACCCAGGCGCCCCTGTTTTCTAAATTGTTACTAGTAAACATACATTACTTTTTTTCCCTTTGGATTGGCTAATTAATTTTTATAGGGTATTTTTTATGTTTATTTTT